GGAAGGAAGGAAGGAAGGAAGGAAGGAAGGAAGGAAGGAAGGGTCCTAAAAGTAAATCTTCACTATGACTGGTCATACATAGGGCTCATGCATAAATTACAATTCCTTTTTGCTTCTCAGGGCTTCGTCTCCCCTAGAAGCCTAGTCAAAACATGCAACTCTTCCTAGGGAGATAGCCTAGTCAGAATTTATGTAGAGAACAGAGAGCCCCAACTCAAATGGAGGGTCCCAAGTTGGAGATGCTAACCAAAAACGACCCAGTTCAAAGTTTAGGAGAAATAACACAATCCCCACATGAGAATATTGTTTGGGAGGAATACAACACCCTACCCTGTTGAGGCAAGAACTAATCTGCCTTTTGAACAGCAATTTCAGCATAGTGATCTGCATGCATCCCAGAGAAGCTCAGGCTGCAACCTGAAGAACAAATTACCATGAGTATTAACACCAGCTCCTGCTTTATGTTTCACAGGATGGCCTCTTGGGTTTTTTTTAGGTGCCCTTGGGATAAATATCGCCCTATCTCAATGAATATCACTGTGATTATAAAGTTCATTTATATTTAATAAAAAAAAGTGTGAAGCTGTTGTTATCAGACACCATCAAGAGTTCTTCATTTTGATTTGGGTTTGGGCCAAGGTTGTGAAATTCTGCCATTGTAACTACTGGCCTTGCAGCATTAATAATGCTGAAAAGATTGACTCAAGGTGCTTCTTAAGTCAAGACACAGAAAGCTGGACTTTATTACTTATTCTATACGTTTTGATGCAAGAATAAAGCATGCGCTTAAATTCCTCCCACTGGGACATGGGATTTTTTTTTCCTTTGGGCCAAACCATGCCCATTATAGATTTTTTCTTTTTTCTTTAAAAATCCTTTTAGTGTGACAATGACCAAGTCCCCCACCATGTTAAGTCAAGGCTAATTTGAACATGGTTTATGGAATAAAGCAGAATTGCTTGGGTTCACACAACACACTAAACAATGACCCATGGTTTATAAGCCTCAACTGCTGGGCTCAGGCATGCTCAACTGAAACCAAACAAACCACCTTATGGCTTAGGGGTGGTGTGAACCCAGATAGTTTTTCTGCAAGGCAAGAGTATTTGAAGAACGTTGTCAACACTTGTAGTAGGTCAAAATGGTTTAGTACCATCATAACATCTGGGAGTTGGAAGGAGTCATTTAAGCTATTGAGTTCCACCCTGATATGTGCAGAATCTAAATTATAGAATCTATGAATTAGCAATTCTTCATATTTCTTGTGCTCTTGTCCCAAACTAACATTTTATGGTGTACCTTAATGCTATCCCCCAAATCCTCAAATGCCTCCCACTTTATGAACACTTACTGGTGATCCATAGCTATTAATGTGCTCATTGGCAATTCAACTGCATACAGAGATATTCCTGCATATCAAATTATCCTTTAAACCAGTCATTATGTCCTACCACCAAGTTAAAAAAAAAAAAGAGGTGAAGGAAAAAGGTAAAACCGCTAAATGGATCAAGTCCAGGCTATTCAGGAGAAACTCTTTCTCTATGTTCATGGAAATCAGCTGAGTGGGTGAACCTACACATGCAATCACAACTGAGAACTCATGAGCATCATAAATTTTGTAAGAAAACTAAATATTTGCTTTATAGACCCTTAATGTAACCATTAACTTCTGTAAACGCTCAGGACAGTATTTACTGAGTGACAAACAGTTGGGAAAAAAAAATCAGATTAAAGCCTGTCTGATCAAACATAAAAAACGGCTTTGAAGTAATGCATTTTGAAGCCCATAGGGTAAAATCACAGTCCTTTAGCGAGAGGGAAGAAGCTGTAGTGGGGCACTGTAAAAAAGGCTCTAATTTCCCGAAAGCTAAATGCAATCAAACCAAGAACAAAAAAGGATTTCTTTCTCCCATGGGAAGGAATCAACAAGCCAGTGGAAAATAAATGGAGCTCCTGTAGAAAGCTTTATCACACTTCTTTCCAAGGGACTATCTCTGGCTCCTAGGTAAAACCGCTAAATGGATCAAGTCCAGGCTATTCAGGAGAAACTCTTTCTCTATGTTCATGGAAATCAGCTGAGTGGGTGAACCTACAGGGACTGCCAGCTTGACCCTTCCTAATGTGTTCTGGGGATGGTTCTCTTGGTGGCCCTTCAAGAAGACCCTTAAAACACCTCTTAAATGATTTGTTGCAGTAGCTCTAGTTTCATGTTTCTACTGCAAACTACCAAGAGACTTTGGAAGTTGGAAGTTCAATCGGCCAACAGAAATCTTATCTGAACCACCATGTTGTCCTCCTCCACATCACCACTTTGAAGAACTGGACCATCTATCTCCTACAACGTGGGCAAAACTGGCTCCAGTAAACCCAAGCTTTATCTCCCAATTTGATCTGTTCTTAGTATATAGCACAATCAGAGTGTTTGTTGCTTTAGAATAACTTCCAATCTCAATCTGCAGTCAGAGAAAAATCTGGAGACGAAGGTAAGCCAGAAAGAACAGCACTCAGATGAGCAATCTGTGGCCGTGAAGCTTCCAAAACCTTGCGCCTTTCACATCCATTGGGTGGGACCACAATCCCTAATGTTTATAGTGCTTGACATGAAAAGGACATCAGTGTAGCCTTCCAAACTGCCCACTTTTTTTTGCGGGGGGAGGTTTAAAAAAGAACAGCGATTCAAGATAAAGCCATTTTGACTCATGCAAGAATGACCTTTGTCCTTCATGAACATGCTGCACAATACAATTTTGAGATCCCAGACTTAAAAGGTGTGTACCCAGAACCCAGACTTAAAAAATGTGTATGTTTACACATCAGGGTCTCGAAGCACTCTGATAAACCTGCAGCAGTAAACATATAACTGGGAAATGTTTTTTAAAAAAGAAGTTCTGCATTTTTTTTAATACTTCCCACCAAGCTGCTAAAACACAGGATCTTGTGTTCTATGGTCTTCTTGAATATCTTTCAACATTATTTTTTTCCAGCTGCCTGCAGAAACCAATGAATTTTCTCAATATAGCATACCCACAGCTCTTTGGTTACCATTTACTGTAGCTTTCTCCAACCTGCCCCCAGCACGTTCTCCACCAATGCGGGGAGAACCAATTGACAAGAATCATCTGAAATTTCAAAGGGATGGCTAACGGCCTTATAACTTTTAGCCGAACACATACACTCAGTCACAAAACTCTCGGGAGATGTTTTTCCACATTTCCTAAAATTTTTCTTGTTCCCCTTAAGGTTATGCAATGTCTCAGGACATGAAGTGAACACTCACCACAGCAATAACAGGAATCAGCACTCCAAGGTTGCCCGCACTGCTGGAGGCCTAAGAAAGACAAGAGAGGTCAATTAAGAAAAGGAAACTCGAAGAGGGAAAGGCAGCAGCCATTCTCTTGGCCGTAAGCACAGGTTGGGGCTATAAACCTTGTGCAAGTGGGTGAAATTATATGGGTGCAAAGGATCCCCTGACCCCTTAGCAGCTCTCAGAAACCCCTATGAACATAACCCAAACCTAACCATGTAACTTTCCACCACATGTGATAAGGGAAAAATAAAAACAGTAAAATGAGCTCTAAACTAGACCTAGCAGAGTAACCAAGAAACTCTCCCCAGAAGGCACAACCTGGCCCCTGTGGGATGGGACTCCATTCAATTTGCTGCCCTGAGCCCCCCCAACCCCATCCCTCAATATAAGCATAGCCTACACCCACCAAAACATTGACCATCCCATGCTAGACCATAACATGGTTTGGTTTGAGTTAGCCCCCTGTGCAAATGCAGACTTCCAAGTTTGGCCCTGACCCTGTTGGCCTTCTGGAAGGCTCTTAAAACTTGCTTTTGTCATTGGGCTGGGGACCCCACAGAAGGGTGGAGCCCATGAAAGGGCAGCATAGCGTTGAAGTTTACAATGCCCTCTCCCTTGTTGTTATTCTAGTTTTTAACTGTTTTAATTGTATTTTTAATGGGTTTGTTTTTAATTATTTTGAAACTTGCGGGGGGGTTGTTTTTTGACTATGTAGGCTGCCCAGAGTGAGATGGGCAGCAATATAAATTTAATAAATAGAGAATATGGTTTTTATTCTGAAGATCAGTAAGAGACATCGCGTCTTTCCTCTCCTACCTTTAGCGCTGGCCCTTTCTCACTTGCACGCTCGCTGGCCCTCTTTCCTTCCAACCCTAGTTGTACAAAGAGTTCCAACAAGTTCATCAGCAGCTCATCCACAAGGTGTTCATCCTGTATATTTGCAGCTATATTAGCCAGGGCATTAATAACAGCTAAGGAACAGTGTCTGATGAGAAGCCAGAGAAGGGGCAAAGGAGAAAAAGAAAACAAAACCAGAAGCATCAGCTTTCTGACGAAATGCCGGCCGTGAAAGCCTTCGACAATACATTTCTGATGAAATATTTAACCTAATTTTCTCGTGTTCAACGCTGCACAGGATTATGAAAGGGACCTTGAAACCCATCTGAAAAGCCCTAAAAAATAGGACTTCAATAATCTGGATGGCACCAGATCTACACACCCAGATAAAAAGAATCTGGGTAGCCATTTTTAAGGTCAGGTGAGGCATCAATTTCTAGGTTAAAAAAATTAAATGCGAATCCTTTTGGAAAGAATCTACAAACGTTCATCAACCAGTAATTTAAAAAAAAAAAAAAACCATACTGCAGTAAGGCAACAAAAATAAGTTACC